GTTTGTCCAGCCGCCTACTGTTTTTTTTTTTTTTTCCATTTGACATTTAAATTTCTTTTTAACTCAAAACTTTGTCCTTGGACACAAAAAACTACTGTAAATTTACTTTTTTTATCTTTTATCATTGTCTCACATTCCTATTCTTCTGGATTATAAATGTTACTTTGAATCACAAACAAAAAATGGTATTGAGCTTTTCCTGTGATTTACTGAATCAGCCTTTTCTGCCTGTGTGCGTCGATTATGGTGGAACTATGTGTTATATCTCTGAAGCGGAAACAAAGACATTTGGCCTGTTTGTGGGTTTTGAAGTGCTCAGTACTCAGTACAAAAAAATGTATGGCTTCATCAGAAAATGTTGTACAGAACTGACCTATATTATGCAGTGTGATTGGAAACTTGTGATTTGGTTGCTGATTGAAGGTGATCTCTTTTGTGTTCTGTGGCTAAAACACAAAATATATACAGTATATCACAAAGGTAAAACCAACAGTGCACCTCTAACTTTACTGATTTATATACTGCTGTCTTAGAATGCAGTGCTGTGTAAACAGGATGTGGTGGTGCTGTGATCACTTAAAAAAATAACTTTGGGGGGGATTTGCTAGAGGTTCCTGTGAGGGATCTCTGGCCATATAACTCAGATTTGATCATGATTGGGATGATTTAGGCAAACCTAAACATAAGACTGTAAATGTTTGGACAGACGATTCAATTGAGACATCAAGGGGGTGTCATATGTGCACAGACTGGTCCATGTACTGGAACTTGATGAAGCTACAGTTACCATAACTGATTACATTAAATTCTGTGTGGACAGTGTGGTAGACAAAAAAAATGCTGTTGTTTATCCTAACAATGAACCCTACATTACCACAGAAATTAAAGATTGTATAAATAGGAAAAAGGTAGCTTTTAGACATAAAGACACAGCAGGACCGTCAGTAGTTCAAAAAGAACAGCTCCTTACAAATGCAAGAGAACATCATCATGGACTGCATGGTTCAGTGGTTACCTATAGCAGAGCGAGTAGGGGGGCCCACAGTTCTCCAGAGAGCCACCGTTGGCCCAGTCATCAGTCAGCGGTGTGAATCACATCACTTTGACTCGATTACATTCAAACTGACTGCTGCTGGATGAAAACTTCCCTGGTCAGCTGTTTAATATCCATTATTCATCATCAACGCCGTGATGAAAAGTACCTGTCTCACACACCGGCTGCCCTGTCTCTCTCTCCATGTACAGTGTGTCTGTCTGTTAAACATCCACCAGATAACATGTCTCTCTGTTGCTTTGCAAAATGCTGAAAGAACAAACCTTCCCCTGGATTAAAATCTAAATCTATAATTCTGCCTAATTAGAACTAATTAGAGTGAATATGAGGCACCCTTAATGCGTGGTGATGTTAG